CCCAACCCCAATCCCTTGAGGATGGTGGCATCACAGCCTCTCCCAGCCTTCCCACTGAGCAGGGTCGCACTCCGTAGCCCAGGGCTGGGTGCTCTGTGGTCAGGTGCGGGAGAAGCTGCTGCTGTTCTCCTTCATTCCCTGGGATTTGCTAAGCTCCAATTGGAGCGTGTGGCTGGAGCAACGGAAGCAGCTGGGGAGGCAAAAGTTGCTCCCTAAATGGCACAAGCAGTTGGGTGAAGGAGGGCAGAGCTGCAGCTGGGAGCATGTAAGGGATGGTGCCCCCATTCCAGCCTTTGGGAAGGGTCCTGAATGTCTGCTGTACAATGGCTCTGTGGCTAAGGGATGGTCAGGGATGAGGATTTGCACCCAGGGCGGCCAAGTACAATGTAAGGGGCTGTGGGCATCTCTGGCTCCAGTGAGCTCCGCTGCTGCTGGGGGCAGCCCTGGCTGATCCCAGGGGATCTGGCTGCTCAGCACCAGTGCAAGGGCTGGGTGGGAGCCAGCGGGGCTGTGCTGGGGGCTCCAACCCTGGGTGCCTCCACTGAGCTCGTGTACTCATGGCAACAACGCATGGGTGATGTGGGGAGGGAGAGCACAGCAGGAAGCGCTGCAGGGGTGGTCCAGGCCTTTGCATCCCTCTCTGCAGCAGGGCTGGGGGTGCATCTGCCCCGTGGCATCTCCATCGGAGCCCTGCCAGGATGATACATGTTGGAATCTGCTGCAGGCTATCGCTGACCTAATTTCCAGCATCGCTGTGGATCTTGTCATCTGTTGCTCACAGCCTGGGTGCAGATGGGCTGACAGGGAGCGAAGTGTGGGAGAGGGGACCAGGGGACCCTGGGCTGTGCTGGGGGGGTCCCTGTGCCAGCCGGGGCTGGGAGTGCTGCAGCTCATCCCTCCTCCATGGGATGAGCTCCTGTGTCCAAATGAGATACCTGGGGTCCAGCTTCGCTCCCTGCAGATTTGTGCTAAGCAGAAAACAAATGCTAATTACCCAGCATAATTAGTGCGATGCTGCATCTATTTTTAATCAGCTTTGGAAGATACATTCTTCCTTTTGCTCCGTGCAGACCCTCCGCTGGGAAACCAGTTGCTATTCCCCTCTGCGCCCCTGGGATGGGGCTGGGATCCCTCCTGGGATCCCCAGCCAGGGGAGCAGGAGCATCCACCACTCCTTGGTGGAGTCTGGGCTCCCACTGCGATCCCCGCTCTGCCGTAATCCATCAGGGATGGAGGGACCGGGCTCAGCTCTGGCAAGGCGGGGAAAGGCGCAGGAGGAGGAGCCGGGGAAAGGCTGCGAAGGCTGCGGGAAGGGGGGGTTCCAGCCCCTCTCCCGGCAAGTAGGGGTTGGGGTCTGCCCGCTGCTGGGGGTGCCCAGGGCAGCCCTGCCTGGGGAGCCGCCTCGTCAGAGGGAGCGGCGGGGTCCGGAAACCCCCATGGGAGAGGGGCAAGGCGCCGCTCGCAGGGGATACCCGCGTCTGCCGCAGCCAAGGGGGGTCCCAGTCCTGCGGTTGTGACACGAGCGGCCAAGAGCGATGTGAGGGGCGGGGGGATGTTCCCAGGACCCCACCCCGAGAGCAGAGCCGCAGCTCGGGCAGGGGCTGTGCCTGCAGTGGCGTCTCCGGCTCTGCTGCAGGGCTGCCCTGGCCGGGTCTGGCTGGGATTCCCGGCGGGAGGAAGGGCTGGAGGAAGCCCCCTCCTTGGCTGCGCTGGGAAGGGTGCCCGGGACGCGCCGCAGAGGAGCGTGGAGCTGATGCTGTGGCAGTGGCGGCTCCGGAGCAGCCTTTGGGGCTCACGCCTGTGACCGCAAGGGGCTGCGGGCCTTGGCTTCCAGCCGCCTGCCGAGACCCAGCCGGTGCCGGGGCTCCCGCTCCTGGCGCTGCGGAGGGGGCGATGCTTTCCCTCGGCAGCCTGGGAGATCCTCGCAGCCCCCGAAGCGCGGTGCTCGGCCCTGGCTCCCGCGCTCCTCCTCCCGTGCCCTGGGGGGAGCCCAGGCCGGTGTTGAGCAGCCCCCTCCTCAGCCCCGTGCTCCCTGCTCGGGGTGTTCATGCGCAGGTTGGAGCTGGTGCTGAGCCCCCAGCACTGCGGAGCTCCCCAGCGCCGGGGAGGATGGTGCTGGTGCTGGTGCTGGGAAGGAGCCGCGCCGGGGAGGATGCTCCAGTCCCTTCACCCTCGTTCAGCCTCTTGTTCGCCCTCTTCCCCCCCATCACCTCCAGTTTTTGCGGTACAAGGACAGTGTTTTCTGCAGGTGTGTTCCTGCCATTGCCTGTCACAGCCCTGGGAGCTGAGCCCCCCTCGCTGCTCCTGGGGGCTCTGCCCGGTTCCCCGCTCCGTGTCTCATGCATGGTAACCTGGAGCCGTGTGCTCCTGGCACAGGCCAGGCAGAGATACCCTCACTGCTAATTAATCTAACACGCCTTTGCGCTGCAGAGCGAGGATGCTCTGGGGTGTTCTTGGAGCCGGTGCCGCAGGCAGCTTTGTTTGCAGGCAGCCTCGGGATCCCCGTGCCTCCGGATCCTTCCGTGCAGGGCAGGGATGTGGGAGAGGCCGTCCCAGGACACGTCCCTCTGCTTCCTGTGGGTGTTTTGCTATAGAATCCAGCAGGTTAACGTTTCCCTTGGCCCTTCACCTCCTCTCCCCTCCTGAACAGGAGCTGACCTGTGTCTGAGGAGTGGGGAGGGAAGGATGAACAATGGGGCACGGAATGCCTGCAAGAGCACTTCCAGTGCTTCCTCTTCCATGCGAGTTGCCAGCGAGGAGTCGGATCAGAGCTGTAAATCCCGGCTCCATCTCACCCTTAAGAACTCTCCCTTGCCCCCAGCAATATTCCTGAGCCATCTCCCGAGTGGTGGGGCCTGTCCTCGCACAGCCCAGGGTCTCCATCTGCTCCGCTGCTCTAAAAGCCTCCTGGATTAAGTGCGCTCAGCACTGCTGTGGGTAACGCTCTCCCTCACCCCTGCGCTTGCAGGGGACACTGGGCTGGCTGTCACCAGTGTCACCGAGGCAGAGCTGGTGCCACTAAACGGCTTCCAGCCCAAAGCAGCGGTTTCTGGCTGCAGGGCGAGGTGTCAGGGTTGTGTGTGCTATTGATGGGCTTGTGCTGCTCATCTCCTTCATCTCCCTCCCACTGGAGCTGGCATTGCTGCGGCAGGGCTGCTGCTGTGTGTGTGGGGAGCCCTGGGGTGCTGTGCCCCAATCCTTGCAGGCATGGGGGGGGGTCAGACCAGGGGTCTCTTTGCAGCCCTGGGGGTGATGAGCAGGTTTGTTTGCATCCACCTCTTGATGCAGACTTGGCTGCTCTGGCTCACCCACATCCCACTCTGCTGCGCCCACCTCAGGGAGTGAGAGGGGCCCGCTTCAATCACAGGGATGTTCCCAGCTCCCACCAGGAATAACAAAAAGGAAAAAGCCTGTTAGTGTAATGTTTTATTGCCACTTAAATGGCAGCGCAGCACCAGCCCCCAGCTGATGTTCTGTCCCCTCTCTCCTGGGAGCATGGTTTTGTGCTTGTACCTGGGGTGGCCCTGAGCCGGGGAGGGGAATCTCTTGGTTGCCCCATTGTCTCCAGCACCCATTCTGTGTCCTCTGGCATCGCGCCCCTGTTTGACTCCTGCTTTGCGTTGCTCCTCATCCTCCCTCAGCAGCCCATCTGCACCCAACTGCCCGCAGGAGGCTGATGGGCCCTGGGTCATGCCCCTGGTGCCGCTCAGTGACCTGCCCTAAACCAGTCTGGATCTGTCATTTTACCTCTTGCTCCTGGAGGATTCCTGCTGGTGACTGTCCCCTGCCTCGGGTGCACAGCGCCTGTGAATCTGCCCCTGCCTGCGGCTGGCAGCAGAGGACAACACACCAGGTCCCCAGACCTGCAGCTTGCCTGGAAGCGTCCTCCCGCCCTCGCTGCGTTGTGATGGCTGTGGCTTGAGGCACCCTGGAAAGGACCTGGAGCAATGGCAGGAGCAAATCCTCCTGAGGAAAAGAGGCTTTATGAGTGTGGCAGGCACTGGCTGAAGGAGAGGGGCGTCGGGGTGGCTGTTCCCTGCAGCTGGAGATGCAGGAGGTCAGGGATGCTGCTGGCAGAGGCTGCAGCAGGCTGCTGATGCTGCTTGGGAGGATGCAGCACAAGCAGCCATGGGGACCTGGCCAGCCCCCAGGGGCTGACACTCGCTGGCAATGAGCACAGGCTCTGCTGTTTAACGCCAACTGTCCCCCTGCGGGCACCGTGTCCTTGCTCTTAGAGGAAGGAATGGCGGTGTTGGTGTCATCAAGGGCTGTGTGGTGCCCAAGGCAGCAGTGTTGAACTAGCCCCGCACAGCTGCAGTGGGATGGGAATTGCTTCTGGCTGGTTTTAAGGAGGAAATAATGGCTTTCCTACTTGTGCCTTTATGCTGAAAGCAGTCTGTCTGGCAAGCCTGTCCTGCAGTGGGTGTGTAACAAGTGGGAACGTTCCTTAGGAACAGAGTGAGCAGCCGCTGCTGCCACGTCCCTTGCACGGGTGGCCTCCAGCCATGCACCCACCGAGCCAAGTGCCCCGGGGTCACCCCTGCGCTCAGATCTGCCCTTGGGAGCGATGATGCCTTCCAGGAATTGCTGCTGGAGCCCCGGGATAAGCAGCGCGCCCCCAGCGCAGTTCCTGCCTGCGGGGAGGGAGCTGCACATCCCGGGGTTGGCAGCAGTGCCACAGCCTGTGGGGTGATGGGCACCGGGCACTGTGGGTGTCATTGTCCCACTGCCACCAGCCTGGTGAGACACCCCGGGGGAGAGGAGCGTCCAGGCTGTGTCTTGGCCGGGGGGGGAATAATCAATGTGCGTGTTGGTGTTGCATAAAGCAGGGAGGGATGCGGGATGCTGCTGCAGGAGATGGAGGGAGCCTGGCAGGGACGGCTGAGGCTCAGGGAGTGCCTGAGCAGGATCCAAGGGCAGAAATCCTGCTTCACGCAGGCAAAGCCATGCTCTGCAAGATGGGCTCCCGAGCAGCGGCTGACACATCAGAGAGCCCAGCGTCTTTCTTCACTCTTTATTGTGTAAAAATAAAGTCAACAATTCATGTCATCTCGGCAGTAAAATGGCAAAAGCATGAGTCTCAGTAGAAACAGTGCATTTCAGAACGGCTGCTGCGGGCTGGAGGTGTCTGTCATAACCCACTCAAAACCCAACGGGGACAGAGAGCACGGAATAGGAGAATGTACAGCTTTGGTTAGCAGAATAATGACAAATCAAGAGACATTTATCCTCTCCCCTACTATACACTATGTACACGGCGTTGACATCGCACCCTTTCCTTGTCGTTTTGGCAGGTCCAGCGCACGCGGGTCTGCGGCCGGAACCTTTGCAGTGCTTTGTTCTTCTCAGCACGTTGCGCTCGCTGCGCTGCCGGCGCGAACAGGTTCTGAGGAGGAACTGAAATGAACTCACGATGGTTTTCTTCCGTTTGTCTTGGTTTGGATTTAAAAAGAGCACAGTTGAAAACGCGCTGCCCTGAGCCACAGTTGGTCGAAGGTCTCTCGATGTGGGGGGTGTCGCTGCTCGTCAGCTGGGGCCTGGGGCTGGCCCAGCTCTGTGCTCCTGCCCGGGGGGGGGACCTTGGCCTTGCCCGGCTCCGTGCGGCCCCTCGGCATCTCCCTGCTGCGTCTCTGGAGTGGGAGCCCTGTGGGAATTCTCGGCCTCATCCTCCACTGCCACCCAGGGCAGCGCTCGGGGGGGCAGGGGGGGATTTCTGCGATCTGGAGTACAAACCGGGAGTTTAGAAAAGGAAACCATACAAAATGCTTCTGGTATTTCAAAATAGGCTTCTTTATCTCTTGTTTTGCGTGTCCTGCAGAATCTCAAGGTGCTGCTTCCTCAGGGAGCTGCTTCCTTCCGGAATATTTTTTTTATCTTCATAAAAATACCCTTTTTTTTTTTAATTCTTGGTAATAAACTTCCCTTTACAGTAAGAGAAACAACATCGTGTTTATCAAAAGCAGAAAGGCTTCAGACATCTCAGTGGGAGCCAGACTCGAGGGCAGGGTGAAGGCTCTTTGTCACCAGCTACGGCACGAGGAGGCCTCGGGGGGCTGCAGGCTGTGGGGCCGGGGGGGGATGTACCTGAGTGCAGCAGGTCAGGGAGCGGGGGTCCCACCGGGGGGTCCCGTCCCGGTGCCCACCGCAGCCCGGGCTATGGCTGTGGTGCTGGGAGAAGGGGACAGCGGGGCTCACACCCCGGTGTCCCTTGGGGGGGGGGGGGTCATCCCATCCTTGGCTGCTGCTGCGCTCCCTGGAGGGAGCACAACCAAGCGGGGGGGGGGGTGTTGGAACCGGGCTCCGGGGGCACCACCCTGCTGGGGGGCTCCAGGTTGGAGGGAGAGGAGCCCCGTGGGGGGGTCACAGCCTTTGGAGGCGCCGGTGCCCGGGGAAGGGGGGGTCCTGGTGCAGGGGGGAGGCAGCAAAGCAGGAACCAGGCCCGGGGGGGCAGCGGGGGGGGGCGCAGCCGCGCCAGGCCAAGGCACGCAGGCATTGAAGGACGTTGGCAAGACAGAAACCGGGGGGGCCATGGGGCTGGGGGAGCGGGCGCCCCGCTGCCAGGGCACCCCCGCTCCCGGGGATGGGGCGGGCGGCTTCGTTCTCGGGTGGTTTAGCGCGAACAAAGGAGGAGAAACCCAACCAAACAAAACCCAAAGGAAGAGAAGAACCCGATGAGGAGGCTTCTCCCGTCCGTGGCTCTAGTTGAGCTGGCGACAGGCCTCAAAAGTCCACTTGGTGGCCCCGCCGTAGATGTCGATGTTGGCCTCGGCCCATGCGATGACATTGCCCGCCTGCGCCTTGGTGCTGCAGGTGGCCAGGCTGTAGACCTCCCCCGGGCTCAGCTTCCTGTCCCACACGTTGAAGTGGGCCAGCTCCCCCACGAAGGCCTGCGTGGCATCGAACCCGCCGCCCAGTGTGTCCTGCAAGGACCCACCGCCGTTGGGGACATCACCCGGCAGCACCCAGCGCCCCGTCCATCCCCTCGGGTGCACCCAGCGGAGCAGGGGCACCCCCCCCACCAACCCCTTACCTGCTCCTGGCCCAGCACTAGGACCCCCTGGGGTTTGATGGGGTGGTAGGGCGCCAGGTTCTCGCCGCTGCCGGTCTGCGTGCCGTCCTGGTAGGCTTCCCACACGCCGTCCCGCGTGGTCCAGGTGACACAGATGTGGTGCCACTTGCCATCGTTGATGACAAAGGGCAGTTTGGCCACCTGCGGGCGGTGGGTCAGGGTGGTGTGCATGGGGATCCCCAGTGCTGCCCCCAACACCGGTCCCCCCACACCTGTCACCCTCCCCAGGGCTGTACCTTGTCGTTGATGAGGATCTCCATGGGGTTGTTGCCCCACTCAATGAGCACCAGCTCGTTTGCCTGCCCGGGCACGGCGTAGGAGAAAGGGGTGCCCATGCCGGGGGAAGCGGTGGACTTTATCCACATGCAGACGCTGAAGGCATACATCTCAGGCAGGCTCTTCTTCACCTTGGCATACATGTAGTTGGTGCGCAGCGGGAAGGTGAGCTGGAACCTGTCCGGGGGACGGTTGTCCTTCTGACCTGCGGGGAGGGAGGCACAGTGGGCTCTGGCTGGACTCCCTCTGTGCCCGCTTTGGGGGTGTCCTACTCCCTCCCTAACCCCTCTCTCCGTTATGCAATGGCCTTGAGATGGCACCGGGGAGCAAATCCCTCAGGCGCTGCTCGGCTCCCTAATCCCCAGCACTGGACAGAGCCCGGAGCATCCCTGGCTCCTGCTGTGGAGCCCGTGGGAATCATCTGTCTGGAGCTGGGGGAAAGTGACCGCTCCGGGGGGGGGGGATAACGGGATGGGCTAGCTCAGCATCCCACCCGGCAGCGCTTGGGACCAGGGGGGCTCTGGGACCGGGGTGGGCTCCGGAGCAGCGGGTACCTTTCTCCAGGTCGCTGATGCGCTGGTGCAGCGAGGTGAGGGTGCTCTCGATCTTGCCGCGCTCCTCGGACTCGTTCCGGGGGTTGAACTTGCCCTCCTCCAGGCTGTTCACCCGGGACAGAACCTGCTTCTCCAGGTCGTCGATTTTGTTCTGCAGGATGTCCTTCAGGTTGTTGGTCTGGCTGGAGGAGTTCATCCTGCTGAACTGCTGCGAGGGGCGAGCACAGGAGACGGCTGTTACTGCCCGGCCCGGCTCTCCCGGCCCCCGCTGCCGCTCTCGGCTCTTGGTGCCCAACTCCGCTCCCGGTGCTCGGCTCCGCTCCCTGTGCCCAGCTTCCCCGGTGCCGCTCCCGGCTCTTGGTGCCCGACTCAGCTCCCGGTGCTCAGTGAGACACCCGGTGCCAGGCTCTCTGGGGCGGCTACGCTCCGACCTGCGGCTCCCGGCTCGCTCCCGGTGCACGGATCCGCTCCAGCCGGCGGCTCCCTGCGCCCGGTGCGGCTCCCGATGCCTGGCTATCCCGGTGACTGGCTATCCCGGTACCCCGCTATACCGGTGCCCGGCTATCCCGGTGCCTGGCTTTGCCGGTGACTGGCTATCCCGGTGCCCGGCTTTCCCGGTGCCCGGCTATCCCGGTGCCTGGCTTTGCCGGTGCCCGGCTATTCCGGTGCCCGGCTATTCAGGTGCCCGGCTATTCCGGTGCCCAGTGTGGCTACCAGTGCCCGGCTCCGCTCCAACCGGCGCCTCCCGGTTCCGCTCGCGGTGCCCGGTGCGGCGCTCGGTTCCCGGCTCCTCCGGTGCCCGGTGCGGCTCCCGCTGCGGAGCGCGTACCTCCAGGTTCTCCAGCCTGGTCTTGAGGGACTGCAGCGTCTGTCCCAGCTGACTGAGGGTCTCGGCCGCGGGTGTCCGTGACAGGTCGCCCATGGTGTTTTTGGAGACCGACGGTTTCCTGCCCTTGCCGTCGCCGGGCGGCGGCTCCACCGCGCTCTGGCTCTCGCACCGGCCCAGCTTGGCCGTGAGCTCTCGGATCGTCTCCTTTTGGTTCATGATGGTCTCCTTCTGCTGCAGCACGGTCTCCCGCAGCTGCAGCACCGTGCTCTTCAGCTCCTCGGCCGAGCCGGTGCCCAGCGCGGCGGCAGCGCACATGTCCCCGTCCAGCGGCACCGAGGTGCAGACGAAGCGGGTCTGGCCGAAGCCCTGCCCGCGGCCGGGCGGCGGGAGCGGGAGCAGCAGCGGCAGCAGCAGCGGGAGCAGGAGCAGCCCCGCGGCCATGGCTCCGCTCCGCCGGGCCCGCTGCGGCACCGGGCCCCGCTCTTATAGCGCCCGGGCGGGGCCGCGCCGTGACGAAGCGAGGCGTGAAGCCCGGCGGGGGAGGAGGGAGAGGACCGGGAGGGAAAGTGCGTGTGTGAGTGCGTGTGAGCGGGGAAGCGCATGGGAGCGTGCATGTGCATGTGCATGCACGGAGCGTGTGTGCATGGGAGTGAGCGCGGGCGAGTGTGCATGGGAGCGTGCATGCGTGGGGGTGTGTGTGTGCAGTGTGTGTGTGCATGGGAGCGTGCATGCGTGGGGGTGTGTGTGTGCAATGCGTGTGTGCATGGGAGCGTGCATGCGTGGGGGTGTGTGTGCAATGCGTGTGTGCATGGGAGTGAGCGCGGGCGAGTGTGCATGGGAGCGTGCATGCGTGGGTGTGGGTGTGTGTGCAATGCGTGTGTGCATGGGAGTGAGCGCGGGCGAGTGTGCATGGGAGCGTGCATGCGGGGGGTGTGTGTGTGCAGTGTGGGTGTGCATGGGAGCGTGCATGCGTGGGTGTGGGTGTGTGTGCAATGCGTGTGTGCATGGGAGCATGCATGCGGGGGGTGTGTGTGTGCAGTGCGTGTGTGCATGGGAGCGTGCATGCGGGGGGCGTGTGTGTGTGCAGTGCGTGTGTGCATGGGAGCGTGCATGCGTGGGTGTGGGTGTGTGTGCAATGCGTGTGTGCATGGGAGCGTGCATGCGTGGGGGTGTGTGTGTGCAATGCGTGTGTGCATGGGAGCGTGCATGCGTGGGGGTGTGTGTGCAATGCGTGTGTGCATGGGAGTGAGCGCGGGCGAGTGTGCATGGGAGCGTGCATGCGTGGGGGTGTGTGTGTGCAGTGCATGTGTGCATGGGAGTGTGCATGCGGGGGGTGTGTGTGTGCAGTGTGTGTGTGCATGGGAGCGTGCATGCGGGGGTGTGTGTATGTGTGTGCAGTGCGTGTGTGCATGGGAGCGTGCATGCGGGGGGCGTGTGTGCAGTGCGTGTGTGCATGGGTGCGTGCATGAGGGGGTGTGTGTGTGTGTGCAGTGCATGTGTACATGGGAGCGTGCATGCGGGGTGTGTGTGTGCAGTGCGTGTGTGCATGGGAGTGTGCATGCGGGGGGCATGTGTGTGTGCAGTGCGTGTGTGCATGGGAGCGTGCATGCGTGGGTGTGGGTGTGTGTGCAATGCGTGTGTACATGGGAGCGTGCATGCGGGGGGTGTGTGTGCAGTGCGTGTGTGCATGGGAGCGTGCATGCATGGGGGGTGTGTGTGTGTGCAGTGCGTGTGTGCATGGGAGCGTGCATGCATGGGGTGTGTGTGTGTGTGCAGTGCGTGTGTGCATGGGAGTGTGCATGCGGGGGGTGTGTGTGTGCAGTGCGTGTGTGCATGGGAGCGTGCATGCGTGGGGGGGATGTGCAGTGCGTGTGTGCAGTGCGTGCATGGGGGGGGGTGTGCATGGCAGCGTGCACGAGTGCGCGTGCATGCATGGGGTGCGTGAGTGTGTGCGGGTCTGTGTGCATGTATGGGTGTGTGTGCGCGCACGGGTGTGTGCGGGGCCATGGGAGGTCGCGAGTGCAGCGCGGAGCAGAGATGGTGCTGTGGAGACTGGGTGCATGCGGGTGTCATGTGCAGGGGTGCACGAAGGGGGTGCTGCAGTGTGCGGGTCTGGGGGTGCTGGTTGCAGTCCCGGAGCGCTCAGTGCTGCTGTCCCCACTGGGCACCCCTGGTCCTCTCCCGTCCCCCAGCAGGGCAGCCCCACGGCAGGACCCCTCGGGGCCCCATGGGGTGAGCACGGGTGGGCAGCCAGGACCCGGGTCACTGTGTGTCCCAGGGGTGAGGTGTTGGTGCCCAGGTCTGCGGTGGGCACCAGAGAGTGACCACTGCTTTGCTTTCTTTTTAATGAGACAAAGCCAATCTCTGGTAGTATTTGGATCTGTTCTTGGTGGGAATCATTCACGGCCACCAGCACTGCGGCTTTTCCTGTCTTCACTTCAGCCAAGGCCAATTCCAAGGCCAGTTCCACTTCAGTCCTGGAGAAGTGAGTGCGTAGCTTCTCCCTGTGTCTGTGCCTTGCAGCCTTCATTTGGCCAAGGCACCTGAGCACAAGTGAGACCTCCCTGGCCCTGCAGTCCTGCTCCTTGAGGAGAGTCTGCCTGTGGTTTTGTCCTTGTCTTCTCGTCGCGTTAGGAAGTGCTCAATCTCTGGGATGTTTAGCCAGCAGACTGCCTGGTAAACATGGGAACTGGCTCCTCTCAGCTCGCTGCCTGCTCTACCCGACCTGCACGGCAGCAGTCCACATGGCCAAAGTATTTACACAATGCCAAGTTATCCTGTGAAATAGGAAGACATTAATTTTGGCTAGTGAAGTGGGTCAGTAAGATTCAAATGCTTCTGGTCCGTGGGTCCACAGAAGATGTAGTACTACTGCTCCGAGGTCCTTCCCCCTTTCTCCTGTCAAAGCTGGGGCTCTGTGACTCTGTCACATGCATTTTCAGGTGTGGGAGTTCCTCCAGCCCCAGGAGGTTGATGCACCCTGCCTTGGCATTGAGTGTCTCCTCCTCAGAGGCACTCCGCTGCTGTTGGGAAGCCGCTTTCCTCATCATCAGTGCTCTGCAGGTTATGGTTAAAGCAGCGCTTCATGGCCAAACCCTGAGGCGTGAGGTTGTCCTCTGCACAGCAGACAGGACACAGGGGTGACAACCCCCAGTTCTCCACCATGGCTGGGAATAGCCGCGGATGCCCAGGCTGGGAAGACAGCGCAGCCCTGGAACAGGAGTGGCTAAGGATTACAGAGCGTGCCAGAGCCTTGGCACCTCTGTGGCTCCTCCGCTGGGACTCTGTGGTGCTTCCGCTGCTCTCCTCCATCAGACCCATCCCAGTGCTCATGGAGACTACAGAGACTTGGTGTTTGGAGCCTTGCCAAGGTTTCTGGTTCCTAGTGTTGAGCCTCACATAGCAGCCCTGAGAGGAGCTCATCTCTGTGCTCTGTGCCCCACGGCAGGAGGCCCTGGCTGAACACCTGCATTTCACGCCTTTGGCTTCATTGCCCTGGGTACTTTCCCTGCTGCTTGCGCTCTGTGCCGTGCAGCATCCCAGTACAGCAGGAACGGAGCAGAGAGGAGCTGAGGAGGGGGCAGGCAGGGTGTGTTTTACCGGGCAGAGCAGTCTCCCTCTGTGCTGGGTTGGGGTTGGGGTTGGCTTGGGTTGGTTTTGAAAGGGGATGCGATGGCAGAGGCTGGGGACTGCAGGGCTGATTCCTCTGCCACAGCCAGGGACACAAACCACAAATAATGTTACTGCAGGCGACAGCTCCAGCAGCGAGAGCCAGCCCGAGGCGCTGAGTCTGTGCCTGCTGCTGGGAACATCTGCATGGGACTGACAGAGCTGCTCCTGTCACAGAACCGATGTCACTGGGAATCTTCTGTCACCCGCCAAACATCAGACTGAGATGGGGCCGAGGTGACAAGTGCAATAAAATAAACACTCAGATGCTACGGTGATGGGCACCGCATGGACACCTGGACAGGGAGAAACAAGAGAGCTGCACCCCAGCAGATAAGCAGAATCCCCTCTGCGCCTCCTAATGCAAAGAAAGAGCTGGAAAATATGATCAAGATTTCAGCTTTCCCAGAACCACTGAATCATGCAGGAGGACCCGTTATTGCTTTTGCAGATTTAGGAGCTGCACGGCCATAATGGAATAATGGAGCCCCAATGAGGTTTAACTCTTCCTGTGCCTCTCCCGGGGCACGCTCCAAAGCTGGCTGAGTTACGGCTCAGTAGTGGAAAGCACTGAGCACAGCTATGAGGGACCCTTGGGGGTGATTCACTTCTGACCAGGAGCCAGCAGGCACATTTGTGTCTGTGACAGCCGGGTACGGCTTTGGGCAGGTCGGGTGCTCCCTTGGGACCTGCTCCCTGCTGCTAGGGCAGCGGCGAGGCGTGTGGATGATGGATCTGCTCAGCGCCAGCCTTCCAGTGGGAACAGCAGTTACAAACGCATAAAGGACAGGGTTTTTTCTAGTGGACAAATCTCTTTAATCCTGGGAGCTGGAGCTCAAGGGAGCAGGGAGTGGAAGCTTTCTCTCCTATTTGTGCAGCCTGCTGTACATAAAGCATCTCCTGTAGGGTAATGCTGATTCCGCAGTTAAGTCTCTTCTGTGGAGTGGGAACAATATGATCCATTATGGGATGGAGGCAGCTTTGTGATGGGAAACAGTAATGGGTAGACTTCACGGAGTGAGGAAGCCAGCTCCTGTTGTTTGTGCATCCAGCTGGTAGCTCTGAGGTTCCCCCAGGGATCATCCGCTCGAGTCCCTGGCTGCACAGCCCCATCCCAACATGCTCGGGCAGGACATGGCAGGGCTCTGAGGCTCTTTTGTCAGGGGTTTAATCCCAGGGGGGTGCAGCAGGGACAGGATCTCTGCCCGCACCCAGCCCCACCGTCCCTGTGGAGCACACAGGGAGGGAGCAGGCTCCTCGCTGGAGCCCTTTGCCTTGTGCAGCCAGACGGGATGCGCGGGACCCGCACACGTGTCCGGGCTGCTCCGTGGTGGAGTTCGCAGAAGAGTGGATATGCAAAATGGGTGTCTTAACGCCTTCTGAAATCTACAGCTGTCATTAGAACAGCTTGAGCATGGTGTGTCGCTAGTACAAATACAGCCTGGGAGGTGGATTATTCCCTTCTGTACCAGACAAACGCTTTGGACCGGAGTTAGGAAATCTGCTGCATTTTGCTGCAGTCTTTCTTTGCAGATCTCTCCCTCTCTGGTTCTCTCCCTGCCTCTCTCCTTCTCGCTCACATTCCCCTTTTCTCCTTTCCTTTCTTTCATCATTCCCATCTCAAACATTGCTTTCCTCCTAAATTGCCTGACATTTACATCCAGTCAGAAGTAGTGTGTTCCTTGCACTAGTAGGTCTCCGTGATGCTACAGGGACACAGATCCTTTCATTACAAATAATTAATTTAGCTATATATTGCATAACATCCTAAAAAGCTTTCTAGGGCAATCTCATGCTAGCTGGATGCACAGTTCC